TGCCTGGCTTGCCTCATCCTGAAAAAGAATAGTGACAATTCACCATAAAGCACTAACTTTGACGGACACAGTACTGTTATAATTTAATGCTGTTATAATTTATCTTGAATCCAAGAAATTGAAGTACTGTAGAAAGCTGCCCAACTGTTAGCACTGTGATTTTTGCAGACAGGTTTGGTAGGGATGGGAGCATCAGTGACCCCAGCAGTCTAACTCCCAGTCCTGTGATGGAGGTGCATTCATCCATCGTATTCGTATGGACCCACCTGCATGAGGACAGAAAGCAAGGGAAGCCTAATAGGTTATCCTGATATTTTCCAAAGCTCCCTCACCAACATCTAGGAGCACAGAGACGTTACAAAGCATTAAATCTGTAATGTTCATGCCCCAAGCATTGGGTGTGACCCCCAAGAAGGGAGGTGAGGGGCCTCTTGCTTTCTATCGCTCTCTCTTCATTAGTTCCAGAAAGACATTTTAAAAATATCTTTTCAAAGAACAGGAAAACCATTTCCCTGCCTGTTTCAGATTCTAAGTGATGTTTCTGCATTACTAAGTCAATTCAAGACTGGCCATACAAAGTGCTATTAGTGTAATGCCTGATAATACTTTAGAGCAGCAGAAGGTGCCTTAATGCAAATATCATGTTGCAGGAAGCAGGGTGCTTTACAATAGCTGCTGTGTTGTTGCTGCTGAGATGTACACCATTATTTTCTTGATTAGCAAATGTAGTGTCTGCAGTTTTTCTTTTGAATCAGTGAAGCAAACCAGAAATGTAGACACCAAGCTCTGCGGGCTGTATTTTTCTTATATATTGCTGACATAATACAGTATGTTAAAAATCAGGCAGTAGGTTTTTATTGAACTCTCTATGATTTTATTTTGCACATTCTAAGTTGAAGGCAAATAGAGTGTTATCAATAAAGTTAGCCCCTTTGAAAATGAAAGGTGCTTTCAAATTTATGGCAATTTTATTCCCTTTCAAGATGTTAAGGTTGTTCCTGATAGGTGCTGCCTGAAGGAAAAGTCACAGTGGTGGCCCAAACCTTGACTCTGTGATTTTCATTGCAGTAATTTCCAGATGTGTACGTACATGTATTTGAGTATGTGTATATTTTTAGAAGCCAAGTTATCAAGTTACCCTAGTGTCAACATGTGTGAAAACAGAGTTTTTATCAAGTCCTCTATGATGGCAGACTGAACAATATCCTCTTGTTCTCTCCTTCAGCGCCCTATTTTTCTGAACAGAAAAGGAGCATTATCACACCAATAAGCCATTTTTCTTCCTATCTAGATATTTTTTATTCCCTATGATGTTTCAGGACTTGTGTTGTTTGCCTTTGACTTTGACGGTATATGCTCACTCTTTCTTTTCCCTATGTTTACTGTATAAAAAGTTGTTTTTTTTTTATTGCCACTACCTCACTTTTATTACTTTCCAATATACTGCAGTATCTGGCTTTGAGTAACTCCCTTCCAAAATCAGCAGTGACTTCTTGGCTACTTGACAACACTGAAAATTTTCAAAGTAACTTAATCTTCTAAATTAAGTCTGATTGAATTATTTATTTTTAAAGCCTTTTGTCTGTCTTCATCCTTCTTGATTTGTCTTCTGCTTTGTCAGCGTGTGAACCATTAGCACCTGAGTTTCTCCAAGATTTAAGAGATTTCTGGTACCTCAGTGGTCTTCCAGTGTCACTTCCTTTGCCAGTGTATTATGCACTTTCTTCTTGTCTGTTGAGTTTAGCATATTCACAGTGATACACAAATAATAATTTTTGAGGCAGCAAGCATTAATTTAAAAAAAAGTAGTATGTAATAGAAGAAAAGATAGTGACTTTGGTCAGTAGAAGTATAGATACAGGAGTTTGAATATGACTACATTCAATGAGATAAGATTGCTAGGAAAATCCGAATTTACATGGATGGAAAAGAGTTTTAAGGACAATTAAATAAATTTTAATTTTGGTTGTATCTGTATATATATTGAACTGTCTTTAATGAATGCACTGTAAACATCCCACCTCAGTTATTAAATCATAAATTTCTGTAAGCATCCTTATAAAAGCATGCCTTCTGTGTAAATGCAAATAAGAAGGAACAGGAATGATATTACTTTGAATTTAGGACAAACAAGAACAGCTATGCTGGGTTAGCATAAAGCTCATAAAACCATACTGAATCAAAGTAAAATAGTAGCAGTAGCAGGTACTCCAGGAAGAAGCATAAGTAGCAGTGTGTATAGCAAGTTTTCCTGTTGTATAACTTCCCAACATTCACTCGCTGTTAGATTTTGAAGGCTTGCTAAGTTGAATGTGTGGATATTGTGTTGGATAATATCCTGATACTATTAATTTTTAGATATTTATTCTTCTGCTCTCCTCAACATCCTGTGCGAATGCTTTTCAAGTCTAAATAATGCATTATATTTAGGAAAAAACATTTGTTTTTTGCTAATAATTTTCTTGGTTGCCTGAATTCTTATGTCACGTGGAATATCTAATAGCAAGAGTACATCTTCTCTGTGATTTTGTAGACTAAAATAGATAAGAACCTAAATGCTCTGCTTAGTTCTTTTTTTTATTAGTAAGAAATATTCCAAGCAATGTTGATATTTTTGCATATAATGCATTTTGTTGTTTTTTGTGTGGTGATACACCTTCTTGAAGTTTTTTGTTAAAAATCTATAAATCGAAGATAATATGTAGTTTAATCATGTTATAGACACTGTGTTTACAAACATGCATGTCTTCCAACTTTCCACTTTATAGCTCTAGCAATAATTGCTCCTAGGTTCATGTGATTGTCAGTTTAACTTTTAGACTCTGTAAATGCTCTGAACTTTACTAAGTTTATTATGCACTAAATTTAGAAAGAAGTTGGGATATGGGAATTTCTGCTATGTTTATATGCATTAGTTAGCAATGTTTGGTGACATGGGTGGGTAGTACTTTCTGAGATGGCCTTTGGTGTCCCACCTGGCTTATCTATAGCAGCTGTTCAGGGTGTTATGGTCTTCTGTCATATTTACCTGCCCCGTGCTGATGCTTTGGATATCCAAGGGCATTTGTGTGAACAACTGAGGCCTGTATTTTGGGAGGGGAGAGTTGGGGAATGCACAGAAGATTTCTGAAATCACTAATGTTAAAGACATGAGTAATATGAAAAAAAAAAATTACATGGAAAAAACAAGGTTGTCAGGAGTCTTCAGCAGTAAATTCAGCTGTTGCTTTGTGGCATTTCAGAACATCTGGTTACAGGTTAGCATCAGTAAAGGGCAGAGTTTGGGGTGGACTTGTCCTTACTTAACCTGTGTTATAAGGTCATGCTATATAATATGAAAAAAATCTGGTGGGTGTATTTGCCCAAATAAGATTTCTGAGTCCACTGAAACCTGGAAATTCCAGCAGAATGCTGATTGTTGTTGGAGCCAGGGTTATATTATGATTTAATGGCTTTTCTGGGCTTCATTTGATGACCTGGCCTAGAAAAACATTTTGAAGCAATAAAGCGTCTGTTTGGCTCCAAACTAATGAGAGAAGCATTGCTCTTTGCATTAACTGTTCTTTAGGAAGAGCTGCGGGGAGCTACTAATAAACCTTATTAAAAAGCTTAAGCAAGACTGAAGGAAATAGAAAACAGAGAAACTATTCCACTCCAAGCGAAGAGAGTACAGGGAAAAAAAACAGGAGAGAGGGGAAAAAAAAAAAAAGGCAGGCCCACAGGGTTTTTGCCTCCCCTCCACGTGACTTGCAGCTTGCTGTACTTCAGCTGCTTTGCCTCTGAGATATGTTAAAGTGCAGCTCAGTTTGATGAAGAAAAGGACTGGACAAATCAAGGCTAGAGACTATTTACAGCAGAGGTTGGGGTAAGTAAATGCAGCTGTAGATAAGTGTTTACTAATGTTCTGCGAATGTTACAGTATCTAGCCTGTAGCAATTAAAAAAATAGTATTTTGTAGTCTTTGTTTGACTGAAGTAATTTGCAAGTGTGGGTGGTACATACTATGCAATAGATTTATGCATAAAACTGATAAAGGATTTAATGTTATTTTTCAGACTTCCCAGAACAAAACAAATAACTTTTCTTTAATTTCATGTCCTTATTTTGTTTTAATTATTTGCTCTGTAAGTAACTGCTATGTCTATTTTAGTGCAGTGCTCAAAATAATTTCAGTGGGAGTTAGCTGATAGTTTCTGGTGCCTTCCTGTTATTTTAATTATTTTTCTTCTGGTGAGGGAGAGGGAAAAACAGCTTATACTCTGAACCTCCTAGATAAAGCATTTTCAGATTTCTAGACTACAACTCCAGACCACTGAAAACTCCTCAGCATCAACTTGTTCCAGGAATTCATTCAACCATCCTAGTAGGATCTGATTTCAGCTGTTCGCTTTTTGTTTTCTTGTCTTTTTATAAATATTTGTGTATTTTCTTATACTGAGTTGTAAATAGAAAATCCTATTTTAATTTCTTTTCTTTCTGTTTAAATTTGTGTAAATTTGCTATTGATATACAAAATAGAAATATGATTAAAGTTTTTGTTGTTAAGAATTCTAGGCTTTTGATTTTGGTATGTGTTGATATGTTTTTGTCTCTAGCGATTTGAATGGACCTTGCGGTTGCTAATATAATTCTGTTATGAAATAGGATTGCAATCTTAGTCAATTAGTGATTTCCAGAGCAGTTGTTTTAGCAGTTTCAGTGCCTGCCATTTGGGTATTTACATTTCAGTGCATAGGCAAGGAGCTGAGAAGGAGGAATGATCAATGTAGATTGTTAAGACCTATGCTGAAGCCTGATGCAAATATTGGGAAGTGAAAAAGGAAGAGGAAACTCCTTCATTGTTGGCAGTGTGTTAAAGAAAATATTTTTAAGGATTTCATACCTTGTCATCTAGGGTGTGTCTTCCTTTTGCATCATCTCACAGGAAAGAGTATGTTAAATATTACAGTCTATCATGAATTTTACCATCTGGATTAATCAGACTGCATTCTCTTTTTCAGATAATCACTCCATTTAGGAGGCTAATACTGTGTGCTGAGAACAGAAAAGAAATGGAGGACTGGATAAGCTCTCTGAAGTCCGTTCAGTCCAGAGAACACTATGAGGTAAGTTGATATCCCTCTTGGTGCACCCTGTTCTAGCTCAACAGGTCAAGCTACAGGACACAGAACTAGAGTATTCACCCCCCTTAGTGTGGAAAGTGTGTTTAATGCCAGAGCTTCATGTTAAGACCTTTACTAATGAAATGAGAGCTTCTTATCACACTTGTTTAGAAGTTTGGAGGGAGAGCAGGCTAAATACCCTTTGGAAAATAATTTTGGTGAACATTGCATTGTCATCCCCTGTAATATGGAACCGTAGGTAATTTCAGTCACTGTAGCTGTGTTCTGTACTTGCAAATTTGTCTTAACTTCTCCTTTACTAGACCGCACAGTTTAATGTGGAACATTTCTCAGGGATGCATAACTGGTACGCCTGCTCCCATGCCCGACCTACCTTCTGTAACGTGTGTAGAGAGAGCCTCTCTGGAGTCACTTCTCATGGCCTGTCTTGTGAAGGTAAAATAAATGCTTTTCCCCCCCTCTCCCCCCGATTATTATGCCACATAGGTAGACAGGTGGCTGGAAGTTTAAGACTAAGAATGATCCTGAAACTAAAGAATAAGAAAAAAGCCCGAAGGGAGAAATCTGTTTGCTAGAGTGACTTTCTTTTGGGCAGAGGGACTGCTAATGATCTGGCTTGCCTTCTTCAGGCTCCAGGTGCTTCATTCTCTAATTTATCTCAATAAAACAGGTCCTTTTGCTGCAGTGCTGAGTGGATGGTTAACAAAAAAAAAACAAACCACAACAAAACAACAAAAATGAAGATAAGTTTTATTTGATTTACCCATCGAAAATGTGAAACTGGTTTGCAGAATCATCATTCCTTGGGCAAAAACAATAACAGTAGTTTCTGCCCAAAAGATAAAAAAATTCATAAAACTTAGTTAATCTCTTCGCCTCCAATTCTTGTTTGCTGTGTTACTGCTGCCTGATCCTGCAGTACAGGCAGGACAGATTGCTTTGAGAATTCTCTCATGCAGTGAGATGTTAGAGATTTAGATGCTTTTGCCTTTTGATGGTTCAACAGGTGAAATCTAGCAGAAAGAAAAAGGAGGTGTGGCTAAGACATCAGCATTAAGCTTATCTGAAGAAATTATATCTTGCAAACAAATGTTACAATAAACCTGAAATGGCTTATTTACATTCTGGTTCAAGTTCTGTGAAACAATGGTAACAAGTCTGCTTACTTGAGAACCCAGCAGAAAATAAAGCATCTGTGTGACCTTATGATCTCTATGAAATGTAGAAAGATTAAATTACCAAAATAGCTGACCATCCAGAAAAGAGTTACAGTTGCACCATTCAAAACTTGACTTTTTGGACGCATGTTATCCAACTGCAAACACATTTCTGTTACTGATGCTATTGTAATACTTGAGGTGGAGCATAATAATATGTATTAAGGAAATCTTACAAAGGAAACATTAACCCACTGTCCTGAATTCTCCATGCTTTTAATGTAGCTAATAGTGCAGTTGCCAGGGAACAGGATGAACTGGTTTCATAGAAATTAGAAGTAGTATAGTTACTTCCAGCTTCTCTGGTGTATGTTTTCCACTGTGTATAAGTCGTTTGGACAGTTCTAAGGCAATAATGGTATTTTCAATATCTGATATTGGCAGATGGAAGCTTCGTATGCTTAATTAAAATGCAGTTGTATTGCCTCTGTGTACCAATGCAGTTAAAGGCAAAGGAAAGGGCAGACTTCTTTCCTTTCATAAAGAATTTATCCTTTCATAATATTATAGCTATTCTAAAAGGCTATTTAGCAGGAATTATTCTTGTAAGATTATCAGTGTTAATGGTTGTAATTCATAATTTTCTGTTTTTTCAGTGTCTTATTTTGCTTCTAAGTGTAGTTTTAATTTCTAAGGTATTGGCATTAACGGTATGTTAAGGAATTTTCATGACTTTCCAGATTTGGACTTTGTCACCTTTCCGCATAGCTTATTACAAACTAATGCTACATTTATCCACATTTCTGGAGCCAGCTGGTCTTTCAGCAGTTTTTTCAAATGTTTCATGGAGGTAGTTTGGATTTGGATTTACTTTCCCTGGTCCACAGTTTCATGCACCTATATGACCTGGATTGGTTTCTGTGTAGATACTACGATATTCTTTTATCTGTTGACCACCTCTTCTTAGCTACCAATTTATATCTAATTTTTAATAATTTTTCCAAGTTGTTGTTGTTTTAAATAAAAGGAACACTTTAATTATGTATCTAATTTAAATAATTTCACAAGTAAATATTATACTGGAATATGTATATATTGTCCCCAGTTCTGTGTACCTGTGAAAGCTCATGTTAACCACCTTTAATTTCTTTATCTAGGAAGTGTATTGTGGTTTGATCCTACTTCTTTCTCTAAAATTATTGTGTGAGTTGAGTTTGTATTTATTTTATTCTACCATGTGCATTTCTAATGCATTTCACCATCCTTTTGTTTTTTTTTAACTTACCCTGTGTTAGCTTCATACACTGAGGAGATGATGTAGGAAGTATGGAGTCTTAAGATTCCCCAGACATGTTCTGTGCTACCTTTTCTCATTATATCTTTAAAAAAGCTGTTCAAATATTTATGCCTGGCATCTGTAACCTCCAGCTCGCAATCCATTTATATCTTTACTGAATTCAATTATTTGTGTGGTCATTGATCCCAGTCTACTCTATTATGTCTTGTATTTAGAAGCACAAGAAGCTTCTTCTCAAAGAGATACTGGAGCTCTTCCTTCTCCCAGTGGTTTGGGTTACTGGCACACCAAGTTATCTTGAAAGTAGCTTAAGAGTCTTTATACTCTTTCTGGTCTGATCCTTAACTGTAAGTGAAAAAAACAAAATCCCATTGCTGATATTTTGTAGCTTGCAATACTTTAAACAATCAATATTTTAAAATGTTGTAATATTTTATTCTCTTAGACCCCCTGGTCACTAGCAACACCACATAAGTGTTTTTTCAGCCTGACCACTCTACAAGCTGCATTTCTTTTGGAGATAAAGATGGGTGCCTACTTTGTTCAGAGCACCTTCACTCCCAGTAGCCAAGCAAAGGTTGACCAAATGAATTGCAGACCACTCTGGAGCTACTTATAGAAGTTTGTGGAAGCCAGTGTAGGAAAAGAGGGTATGTCAGCACTTTTACTAGGGAAAAGACTATAAGTGAGAACTTGCATCTTTTTAGAAGTAAAAGAATTGATACATATATCAAACTGAAGATGTAAATGTATATAAAACCAGGCTTCATTTTTTCTACGGCTCAAAAAACAATTGACTTGTAAAAAGTTTAATCAAACACTGCTTTGAGATGCAGTGCTGTTCCTCCCACTAGTTCCTTCTTTTGCGTCTTCTCAAACATCATCTACTTTTCAAATGTCTGTGGTGCTCTGGCTAGCTCTGAAGGACTGATCTCAACATTCACCCACAGTCTTTACTAGGAAGGAGAAATGATTATTTTTTTTTTTCCCCTTGCTTTTCAAATTACTCCAAACTAGCTGAATCTTTATGCTTCACAAGTGTATCTCTTATTCAGAGTTTGACTTGTTCTATGCTCAGGAGTCTAAGCCTAAGAAATTGTCAGATAAAACCAGAGATACTGGAATTTTTAGGCAAAGAAACTTAAATAACAATAGATCTACAGAAACTCTTTCAGAAGTCTCCAAGCTCAATTACTTTGTGTAAATACTACGTTTCTATCCAAGTCATTGTCAGTGGAACACTGCCTTTGTGATTATTACAAAATACGTATTTCTTCGGGTAGTGTTTTCATTATCCTGATTTAATCTTGATTGCTGACTATCAAATATACCTAAGAAGCTGGGAATTGTAGTTTGAATGAGATGCTTTCTCCAGTAATGAATAGCACAAACAAACAATATTGAAAGAACACTTTAGGATCCTAAAGTCAAGCAACAAGAAAATACCAGGATTAAATCGACTCTGCAAATGCACTTTGTGCACTTCATCTTTTTTTGTGTTATGATTGGGGGGTTTTGCCTACAAAACCCCATTCTTCTTACCCACTGCACAGTGTGTTGTACATGCACTACTTGCTTAGCCATTGTCTCCAGGTTTTTTTGCCACATTTTCTGCATAGACTGGAGAATGAATAGTGACAGAAATGGTCAGGAAGAGAAGGGATATGAATTATTAAATAATTAAAGTGTTACAGAAAACTGTTCTGTGACTTAGTATTAGACTGTGCCTCTCTGTAATCCTGGGGAAATCACTTATATAAGATTTTTTATCAAATCAGTAGTTGTGTGTTGTTTATAATCTGGGACCTGTATGACAGAACTGCTGACTTTTGTGTGGTTAAAAAAAACAGTTGAAGCTGTTCTGAAGTCACTGACACTTTGAAGATACACAAAATTCTTAGAACCATAGAATCATTGAATGGCTAAGTTTGCAAGGGGCCTTAAAGATCATCTAGATCCAGCCCCCCTGCATTGGCAGGGAATCAAAAAGAAAGTCTTAACTGTATGAGTGCTGAGCATAACAACTAGTAGTATTATTAATAAGAATATTTTTAAATGACAGGAAGAAATCAAGATTGGTGTCCAAGGAAGCAGAATTTCATTAGCTTTTGGTAAACAACGCAGATACCTGTTGAAAATTCCTATGTACCAGACAGCAGTGCAGCTGTGTGCTTATCAAGAACCACCCATTGCATGCAGTGAACTAGGGTGCTCTTCTCAAAAATTGTGTGATCATATGACTGAAGGCTTGACACCTGCACATGGAAGCTGTATTGCCAAGCTGTATTGCAAAGTTAAGTTGCATGAGTAACTTAAGTTGTAGTACTTGACTTTGTAATGTAGGAATTCATTTAGCCCCTTCTTTGTAACATTATATTAACTGAGAGAGTTACTCATTTGGGTGAAAATAGTGAAAACTACCAAGAAACTGCTGAATTTTATCCAATACAACATGGACATAAGGTTCAAACTGGCGTGAAGTTAGGTTGCTGTTTTTATGTGAGTCACTCCATTTTCACTGTGCCATGTCCATCTGTCATGTGATAGTATTCTTGGAAACAAACCAGTAGGTTTCTTGGAATGCCTGAAGACAAATCCTTCCATCTTGACAACTTAAACTATATTTACCAGCTCAAGAGATCTTCAAATTAGTTTCAAAACTTTGGTTTTGGCCTTTGAAGTTGGAAAAGAACAGTCTGAGCCAATTCTTCTTTGAAGAACACACAAGAGAAAATTTGTCATAAATTAGGCAGTGGAGTGGTAAGTTTGGAGAAGAACAGTGTCCTGCCAGTGTAGTTGAATTAATGGATGGGTGGTTAGAATAAAAGGCCCTTGAGACACAGGTGTTCTATAACAAAGGTGTATATTTTCAGTGCATGAGATCCTGTCATAAGGTTTAGTAATGTTGCCTGTCTTCAGTATAGGTAATAATAGCTATGGATTTAATCAATGTGTCTGTCAACAGATATTGGTACCACTGTGACAATTATTTGCAAATTAGTTAGTTCTCTTGGTTGGCTTTCTGAGAGGCCTGCTTCTTATTCCAGATAGAAACATTTACACAAGAAAATAAAATTTAAAATAACGTTCTATGAATATTCTAGATTGGGTTTGGCTAAATTTTTCCTTTTCTCATCTTTTAACTTCGATTGAGGATGTAATGGCAATTGGTGTCTTGCAGTATGTCTGCATGTTTGCTAAAGATTTCAAGTATGAGACTGATCCATGAAGGGGATTCAGTGTCATCTGAGACAAAATAGATTAGAGGTAGTGGTAAGGAAGGTTGAGATTTGATTTAAACTTTTCCTGTCTATATCCATCTCTTCTCTACTGCTTTCTGTTCTGCTCAAAAGTTACATCTGTGTCTTAAGGTCATTGTTTTTTGGTAATGTTTAATGCTTAGTTTAACACAAATAGTTGTTTGATGCTTTGGGGGCTGGAGGGGGGTGACCTAGAGAAAGTCTGATCTAACGTTTGTTAAGTTATACACTGTACACAAAAAGCAAACTTTAGCTGTTGGTTGCCATCCATGGTGTGGCTTGCTGCAGCTCTTCAGATCCTAGGTTTGAATTTGTCCTTGCTTTGTTAAGAGACCAGAGGTTGATAACAGGGTCCTGAGGTCTAGTTTAATCATAGCTCAATAGGGTTTGAAAATTGCATTTAGTTGTTATGCCTTTGTAATTAGGAATTTCCTGTTGCTCCTCATCCCTTATTTGTTGTATGTTGATCTGTGTAGCAAAGACAAACTTACGAGTAGGAAGCTGAATTCAGTGGCAGATCTTCTAAAAGTTTTAAGTGGCAAAACTGATCAAGGCCCACCACTTGGAAATGCAGCCTTTATTTCTGTGCTTTTGTGAGGGCTGACTTCTGTGGGCGCTCAGAACCAGATGAGATTGGCAAACACAAAATAAGATACTGACCTGTTTTGAAAACATGAACCTGCCCTGTTAGTCAAGGAATGTGGGATGTTTGCACACTTTGCATCTATGAGTGTTGCTTTTCAAAATGACCAGGGAAGTTAAAGCAAAAGCAGCAAAAGTCCTTTTTCTGTTTCCTTGTCTTTCTTTGAGCTGAGCACAGACTTCCATGCATCTCCCAGAACAGTGAGGAATGCTCTCGAAGTCAGATGTTGCTTACGTAGTCACAATTCACTTTTTAAATTGATCTGGCAATGGATCAGTGGAATTAAGATGAGAAACTCATGATTCACAAGACCTTCTGTACTGTGGCTTAATGCTTTTAATGGTAGACAAGCAATGTCTGATGGTTTCCTGACAAATATTTGTTTGAAAGGAGACTACTACTTCTGGCCTGCTGGCTAGTTCTCATAAACCTTTAATGGTCTTAGCCAAAATAATTTGTATAATGCACTCTAAATAGAATGATGTCATGCACTTCCAGTAACAGAAATACCCACAGTTGGGTGCATCAGTCTGTTTGGTCTAATATGAGACCAGTAACTAGTCACACTAATTGCCCCACAGTTGGGTGCATCAGTCTGTTTGGTCTGAGACCAGTAACTAGTCACACTAATTGTGCTGAACAATATACAAATAGTTTTTAGATTGTCAAAATACCTGCCTGTACTACACACTTGTGCTGAATATTCCAATTAGTAGATTTTAAAGAAATAATCCAGTGAGGAGTCAGACTCTTCCTCACCTAATGTAGCCTTTTCCAAGATACTGTAACCACCAGTATCCTGAGTAAATATATCAGCACCTAACCCTTCACTTTGTCAGCTTCTGGGAAAACAGGCATAGTATAGTGCCCAAAAGGGATCCCTTAAGCAAAGAAACAGAGGTCCTGAAGCAAAGTACTTGAAACATTCTCCTGTCACCTCTTGCAAATTTAAACCAGGTAGCAGAATTGTGTCACTGTAGGAAGAGAAAAGGCAAAAACACAGTTAAAAATATATTTGTATCTTAGTGCCTTGCATTACACCTGAAATATGGGCTACAGCTAAGCAGTTAAGCCCAGTTTAGAGAGTTAAACTGGACTGATTGTTGACTGAATTTTATTTTAGTTGGGTTGTCTTGCGTGTGCAACACTAGATGACATGTACTTGGCTGTTTTATGGAATATCTGTGTTAATATATTTTTTTAAAATATACCTCTCACTGAAATACAACAAATAACATAGTATACATGTTTGTGTGCCTTCCAGTGTGTAAGTTTAAAGCACATAAAAGATGTGCTGTCCGAGCAACAAATAACTGCAAATGGACTACATTAGCCTCAATTGGAAAAGACATCATTGAAGATGAAGATGGTGTAAGTACTATTGATATTTACGGGATTTTCCAAAACTGTTTCTTCTTCATGGGGGACAAAAAAAAAAGGGAGGGGAGGGGCTAAGTCTAGAAATATTGCCATATGACCCACTGAAGTTAATGGCAGGTAGCTATATTCCTGAACACTGTTCAAAGATTAACATGGTATTTGAAGCACAAGTTATATTCCTATCTCACAAGAAAAGTTTAGTATTTGTAGGCAGTAGATTGCAACTGTGTTACAAGATTTTAAAGACCACGTGCAGAGAAAGTGAAGCTGGAGAATTGCTTCCAGAAGTTCCTACTACTCTTAAGCAAAGGTGGTATTTTATACTATTACCATGCTAATTTTGGCAATGTATTTTGTTCTTACCAATAGCTGTTCCCCAGGAGGCCTGTTTGTTGTTTGCTGATCTGTGGGGAGTTTTTTACAGATGAGAGCAGGATTTTTAAAATTAGCAAGGGAAATGGCAAAAGCTTTTCAGAGTTTTGTTGTGATAGAAAGGTTATTTTTGCAAACACGGCTGTTTATGTGCCACTGGTGTGAAGCTTCTTCCTAGAAGGCTGATACTATGTTGCAAACCTATGAGTGTCCTGAGTTGCCCATGGTATTAATAGGACGAGTGCACTGAGTAGGGCTTTGCCCTGCATTTAGGGACTGCTTTATAGAGCTGTGACTTACCAGCTGTGGTGAGAGGGTATGTAAAGCCACAAAGATGTTCTCCTGTCCTGACTATTCTGAATTTTAGGTTTTTTTAATTTGTTTGTGTCATGTGATCAACATTAAGGGAATGTGTACTAATTGTGTTACCAGTTGTCTAGACTTAACTGCTCTGTTTTGTGGGTAGTTGCTACCATAGTAGTATGAATAACTGAAAGAGCTGTGTCTCCCTTCTTCAGCTGTCACATTTTCTGCCTAGCATGTGAAACGTTTGCATAGTCCAGATCCATAGGCGTTACCTTGTGAGCACCCGTGTCCCTTACCTTGGTCAGCCATACCTGCATCTTTAATGAAAGGGTACAGCCGTGGGAAACATTTTCAATCCACCTGTATTTGAGAAACAAAAGTCTCTAATTTCAAAGTATTTAACTTCTGTGACTGCTTCTTCACAGATAGCTATGCCTCACCAGTGGCTAGAGGGTAACCTGCCCGTCAGTGCCAAATGCGCCGTCTGCGACAAGACTTGTGGCAGTGTCCTGCGCCTGCAAGATTGGAAGTGCCTTTGGTGTAAAGCTATGGTAGGTACAGTGAACTACATCCAAGCATCCAGGATCTTGCCAGCTTTATTGCTCACCATTATTTTTATTTTGGCATTGCACAGCCCTGCTTTTGCATTAAGTAGGAGCAGGCAGCTTGTGCAAACTCGGGTCTCTCTAATGTTCATCATGTCTCCTGACCGTCCTACTTGTTTCTGTTAATTTTTAAGACACCCACAGATGCAACTTTTCTTTAAGAGGTGTTGTTATCCAATGTGTATTTTCTCTGACTTGTCCTAACTACTGACTGAAGGTTCAGATGCCTGTTCTGTGTGATAATAATACTACTTTCTTGTGTCTTTTATTGTAGGTATTGCTATAATAATATCTTAGTAGTATTAATGTTTATGGATATTTATTAATATTAATTTAGCAATGTTTTTATTACTGCAAAATCTTGAAGTTCTCTTATTCAGAACGCTCTGTTGGTTGCTGATTGAAATTCTGTAACATTCTATTGCTGTTTCCCCAAAAACACAGTTTTCTCGTAATTTTTTTAACTTAAGAGGTAGGTTTCATATGCTAAGATATAGAAGTGGAAACTCAGCATCTTTTTAATTGTTGAAGTTTTTGGCATATAGATGTCTGAGCCTTTGTGTGTTGGCAGTGGGAATTGATTGGCATCTGTAGAGGTGATTTGAAATGTAGGTGAAGTTCAGCACCCTCTGCGTGTGCCTTTTTTTTTCCAATAACTGTGGAAGAGACCTTTCCCTTGTTTGTGGGACCCACCTCTGGTGAGTTGGTCTGGTGTGGTAAATGTGCTAGCTTTAGTGCAGATACAGCCAGGTGGAGCAGGCATGTATAGAGCTGTGGCTTTACTGGGCACAGTGCGCCAGATGACCCCAGCATAGATGCTGCCTGCTGGGAACTTGATCCTCCCCTGCTTTTAGATAGAGGTAGGCAGTTCTTTTGAAGGGGTGATTCATACTTGGTGTAGGGGTAGCTGAAGATTAAGTACTCCAAACTTATGTTTTGTGGCATGAGTAACAAGTCTTTGTGTTTGAACACTCACACATTTTTTTTTCCAGTCTTGCTTCACTTCCCCCTACACCTAAATGTTATATATTAGTCCACTTTTGTTGCATAGGTACTGTTATCAGTTACACATTCATCTGAAATTCCACTGTAGGGA